ACATATACATATACATATACATATACATATACATATATATATATTATATACATATACATATACATATATATATATTATATACATATACATATACATATACATATATATATATATATATATATATATATATATATATATATATATATATATATATATATATATATATATATATATATATATATATATATATATATATATATATATATATATATATATACATTGCACAAGTGCAATGCGACAAAAATACCACTGTTCGATTCAGTGTAACAATATCTCCTCATTCCTAGCGATAGTGAGCTTTGAAAGTCACACGAGTTCGTATATGATCAAATTACGCAAAATTACTATAAACAAATTATAAACATAAACATACCTTTCGCCGAACATAACTTCGGCCCCTTGAGATTGTAATATTATTTTCACTATTTACAATGTTATTTTCAAGCTTCTATCTTAAAATGGTGATCTTTTATTGCCGTATTTACATTTCTGGTCCGAGTGTGCGATAATCCCAAACGTAAGTACGAATTTAAAATGTCAAAACAATGAACCCATAGAGATGTCAAAGTACCCGTATACGCATGGTTTGACGTCATCGCGGCTACGGGAGCTCCTTATTTGGTACCCGGACATTTTGCCGAAAGACATTTTGCCGAAAGACATTTTGCAGAAACGGACATTAATATTTTGCCGAACGGACATTAATTTTCAATTTTAGGCAATGTTATGCGGGAATTTCCGGTTTCGGTCCTTTCCCGATTGGGTCGTTTCGGTTTCCGTTTTTTACAGAGACCCTTTGTTTACATCATGTTCTCTGAGATTTATAAACAGGTTTTTTTGTCTAGCCAATCACATCACTTCATGTGACTAAAACCTGTTTATGAATCTCAGAGAACATGATGTAAACAAAAGGGTCTCTGTAAAAAACGGAAACCGAAACGACCGAATCCGGAAACGACCGAAACCGGAAATTCCCGCATAAAATTGCCTAAAATTGAAAGCGCGCTCAGCTCAATCCAGAGGTTCTCTTCGCCTCGCGTAAAATAAATACGAGCGGGAATAAGGCGAAAGATACAGAACCTCTGGCAATACTAGTTTACCCACAGGGTAGTGAATGCTGCCTTGGTGTAGCATTGTTCCCAAATCTTTAGTACGGTATTTTAAAGAACAAGAATAAGAAATATTTGTAATGAATTGGAATCATCAATAATTTATACATCAACATTTTCAAAAACGGACAATTAGACCAGGGGTTGAAGGGCAATGACGATGACATGCAGGTGACATTTAACATGTGCAACTGTGCGTCTCACTAATTAAAATTTGCGTGTTTAATAGTAATGTTTATCAAAGAAGGCAAAAATATATACAAGACAACCTCACATGTGGAATCTGTTCACTTACGCACTGCCTTGTGATGCAGTACAAGTATAAATACAAATGACAAAGCATTTTTAAATCCTAAAACATAATTAAATCATACGGCTCATTCAAGATTCTATTTTAATATCGTATATGCCTGGGGCATGCATTCGCTGCGTTATATTCATTTATATATACACAGATTTATTACTAATAAATCAACACTATATGATAATATATAGAACTCGAAAAGTGCATAAATAAACCTTTTTAAAGCATGTCATTGTCATTGCAGACCAGAGGCAAAAACCAAAAAGCATTGTCAACCACATATCGTGAAATCATATACATGAAAGAGTATGGAAATAATTTTGAATGAAAGGATCGCGTATAATGTTAAAAGCACCGCGTATAATGCTTGAACCACTGCGTAAAATTGCGAAACCACCGCGTATATTAAAATGGTGAAAGCACCGCGTATAATAGTAAAACCGTAAAAAGCACCCGGTATGATGGCGAAAGCACCGCGTATAATCGGCTCGAACCACCGCGTATATTGGCGAAAGCACCGCATATAATGCCGAAACCACTGCCGTAAATGCTAAAAGCAACCAACAAAATGCCGTTTGATCATTTTAATTAAGCCAGCTATGGCTTTCCATATTAAAAAGAAGACCAAAGATGAAAGATGATCACATTGCCTATTTGCCTTATGCCTGACCGCGCTGCACCACGGTCAAAATTCACTGGTACCGTCATGCAATGCGCCAAATAGAAAATTTTTATTTCGACCCACAAAACAAAATTAGGATCTGCTGCCTTGCTCGCTCGCTTCAGGCTCGCTCGCTGCGGCAGCAACTATCAATGAATTGCGCCCACCCCCCTGTAAATTATTATTATGTATATCTCCTGTGGTGCAAAATGCTCTAATTTACATAAATTATGCACGGTTCCAGGTTCCGGTTCCAGGTTCCGGTTCCAGGTTCCGGTTCCTGTATCACTGTATCGTTGTTATTGCTTTTTAGTAGTAGTCAATTGAATCGTATTAATTCGTATACTGTAATGCGATACCGTTTTTAAAGTGGTACCCGGCAGTAGCAGATCAGGAACAACCGGCTACTACTAAAAAGCGATACAGCGATACAACGATACAGGAACCGGAACCTGGAACCGTGCATAATTTATGCAAATTAGAGCATTTTGCACCACAGGAGATATACATAATAATAATTTACAGGGGGGGGGGGCGCAATTCAATGATACTATAAATATTATATAATAATAATAATAATAATAGACTTTATTTAAAGAAGGTATTACAAAAACCAGTTTAGCAAAGCTAATCTTACACTGGGCCTTCTATAACTACGACTATTAACAAACAAACAAATATATTAGGTAACGTGATTACATATGACTACGTTTAAACTGTTTCTAAAAAGTATTGATATGTTCTTATTTTGAATGATGCTACCGAAGAAGAGTTTCTTATCTCAAGTGGTAAACTATTGTAAAGTGTTGCACCACTGTATGGTAGTGCCTTTCGTCTGATTGCCAATTTATTCCTTGGTACCCACAAATCATTGTCCGCAGAACTTCTGGTGACTCGACTAGTCACTGATGACTTCAGTTGAAATAAGTCACAAATGTATTCCGGTACCAATTGGTTTCGAGCCTTGAATACCATAATCGCGGTTCGTAGCTTGACTCTTTGCTGTATAGGTAATACTTTAGCTGCTTTAAGTAGTGGTCCAGATGATGTTAGTCTTGGTTGATCATAAACAATTCTCATAGCCAATTTTGGAAGCTTGTGTATTCTTGTTACGTCAGTCGATTGACCCCAAACTGTCGAACAATAGTCGATGTGAGGTTGTAAAAAGCATTTATAGTAAAGGACTCTGAAACGTATTGGCAAATATTCCTTTATTTGTCTTAACAGATGTATTCCCTTGTTTAGCGATCTTGCTACTTTATCAATCTGTAGTTTCCAACATAAGTTGTTATTGACAATAACTCCAAGCAATTTTTCATTCTCAGTGTTTGTTAGCTTCACTCCATTAAACTGAACATGTAGATTTGAATTTAACGTGGCCGCACGCTGGCAAGTTGTCATAACCATTGCTTTAGTTTTACTGTTATTAATTACCATGTTGTTATTGGTACACCACGTATGAACATTAGACATATCATGAGTTAGTTTAACATTTAGTTCTTCAATTGTTTTAGCACTAGAATATATTGTTGAGTCGTCAGCATACATATCTGTGTTGGAATTGACATATAATGGAAGATCGTTGATAAATGCAATAAATAATAGTGGACCCAAAATACTACCTTGTGGCACACCTTGGAGGCTAGGCATTGAAGATGACAAATTACCTTTGAATTGCACGCATTGTTCTCTACATTGCAAGTATGACTTAAACCACGACCATGTCAAAAATCACATTTGTAAATAGTACATGCAAGGTATTTTGATTTTTAAACAAAACAAAGAATGGACATCGTTGTAGCACTACGTAGTAAAACATGTTTCGTAATTGCGCGGCGATTCTTCTTGTCTGTTTTGATGACTGCACGTGACGCATTGATTATGAAATTCCAGCAGACAGAGAAGGAAACCAACGGCACGCAAAGCAGATTGCGCTGAATTCAATCCCAAACATGTATGAAGTTTATATGAAGGTAACTTCAATGTCAAAAATACATTTAATAATGAAAAATTGATTTGTTTGATTGAAATCTCGCCGGCCTTGTGGCCATGTTGAAGTGTAGTCGCTTTAACAGCTTCAACTGTTCCTCCTTTGGGAGGAACGAGCAATACTAGGCGGCTGTTTTATCAGGCTAGGCTTTTTATAATGCTATACTGGGGAAAATAGTCACAATTTTAGGGGTATACTTTACTTGACCGGCCAGATATTCGGTATGTC